TGCCACCCCACACGTGCATCCCCGCAGCCCCGTGTGTGTGGGGACAGCACCCAGGACCGTGTGCTGCTGGTGAGGACATGCCCCTTCCCTCGCTGTGGTCAGGAGTGAAGGTCTGACCGCTTGGAACTCTGTGTATGGACATAAAGGAGTCGGAGCTAAGCTGGGAGTCTCTGTGCCGCTCTCAGTGTAGGTAACAAACACCCTGAGCACATCCATCACCTGGGAACAACAAAGTCAAGTTTGAAAAGATGAAAGCTTTCCCGGTGTTCTTTTGGTGCTGAGCACATGGGATGTACTCTGGGAAGTTCTGGCTGGGATTGCCTGTCCTGCCTCACGCGTGGGGAAGCCGTGGTGGTGCTGAGCGAGGGGGCTGAAGGCAGATCCCACAGCGTGTGCCAGTTTAGAAACTTCATCTCAGTCTTCATGTTAGACAAGTGTTGCCAACTCCTTGTCCTTCCTCCCCAGAATGGTAATTTGGATCAGTAATGAGCAGGAGGCAGCCACCTGAAAAAGTGGCAGTAGGGATAAGTTTAGGGTGATACTTCCATATGTGCCAGATGGATGCATGTAGCAGTTTTCAGTTGTTTTTGTGGCTGGCAGTTACTGAAATACATCTTTCAGAGCTATGTTTGCACTCAGTTTATTTGCTTGGTGGTCCTACGCTTCTCTAGGATGGGTACAAACCTTAGGTCTGTGACATTTTACATAGTTGAGGGTGCTTGTGTGTGAGAGCAGAAATAAATTTTATCCAAAAGTCAACTGAATGGAAGTTACTAAATGAGCTGGAATTTAATTTTTAATGGACCATTTTACTGAAACTCTCATAAGTGTGGGTTTTTTCTTTTTCCTTACTCTAATCTTTAAAGACAACTGAGTCTCTAAAGAGATTTGGTTTATGTCGTAAAGTACATTGTATAAAGCCAAACCCCAAACTCTTCAAGCACTAATAAGATCTCGGAAGTGTGGACTGTCTGTCCTGGCTTGCCAGCAAGCTGCTGGGTGATGCTGGGCTGGCTGCAGCCATTCCCACATGTGCCAGGCACTATCCAGCTGTCAGAACACCTTTGCAAATCTCACTGAAATCTGTAGATGAAAAGCGAAAGGACTGTATTCTAGGGAAATACCACATTTGGTCCATATTTGTATTGCTAATGAGGGTGATTTGTAGGCACTGTCAGCGCATGTGAGACTGGTGCCAGGTGCCAGCAATGGCTCGTATCCTTCACTCAGACGAGCTTCAACATCCTTTTCCATCCTCTCCCTCTGCTCTTCGGAGATTAATTTTTGTAGAGAATTGTGGAAACTATACCGAGCTCATTCTCTGTGTGCCGTCATTTTCTGTGCCAGAGTCGTAAATGTGCATTTATTCACTTCTGCTTTGGAGAGCCTGGCAGGATGTGGGTGGTAAAACTCAACGTGTGCTCAGCAAACGCTCAGGAGGAAGCAGGAGCTGTGTGTGTGGTGACTGAGAAGCAACAGCAGCAGAGCTCAGAGCTCGGGGGGTGCTCAGGTTGCATCTGGGGCTCTATTTCCCTGCACATCCTTGCCCCCGCAGGCCCTGCGCTGGGGGGGTTGGTCGGCAGTGACTTGGAGGGACAGGCGGCTCCACAGCACTTGCTGCCAGGGTTGCTGTGCCTTCCTGTCAGAGCTGTCAGGGAGAGCCGTTACCGGAGGGGGGCCCGTTAAACTGAAGAAGTGGGGAAGTCCTAAATGTAATGGCTTCAGAAGCGGTTACTTTTCCTCGTATTTTCAAAATGATGGGTGGGTTTGCATACATGAAACCAGGGCTTTGGAATGGAAATGGGAAGATTCAGGCCCTTTGTGTCTGGAGAGGGGACTGAGGTTGTGTAATACCGTTGATTGCGAGGTACCAATGAAAGCTGGTTTTGTGCGGCAGCATCTGACTTCAAAAGACACTGTTTGAGGGCCTGCATTACTAATCTCAAACATTCAGAATTCATATCTGAGTGTCCAGTTTCGTGAAAATCAGTCTATGGCACGTTGTGACCTTATTTCTTTCCATTTTCCCTTTGAGGCTTCAAGTTTTCCTCTGAAAGCAGGAGATTTTCAAAGTGATTGTAGCAGTCTCTGAGAATTCCAGTGATTCAAAGGGGAAAAGGTCAAGTTCTGTCACCATCCCAGCAGATTGGGAGCAGTGATAAAGTTACAAGCACGGCTCTAAAGTATTTTCTGATTTTCAAGATGCTCGTGCCTTCTGGAGTTTGGGTTGCCTTTACGTTCAGATTATTTTTTGGAAAAGCTTTGTTTTCAAAGCATACGGTGTTTCCATCTGTAAATATTGTACATGGTACTATCTTCAGGGATAAAACACAGTGTATGTGGATATATTTAGCATTTAAATTACGTCTGTATTTATCTGTTAATTACCTTAATCCAGAAATTACACCTGGAAGAATGAAAGCATTCAGCAGCAGAATTCTCTCCTTGATACTTGTCTTTGGAGGAGGGGAACACACAAAAAACAAATAAACATTTTCCCCCACAGCATGGCTGGGTATTTATAGCAGAAATTACAGATATATTTACATGTCTGTAACAGAATTTCATGTAGTGTAGAATTGAGATGCCTGATGAGAGCCGGTGGAAAGTCTCAGTTTCAGGAGCTGGCTTTGAGACATTCAGCTGATTGGTTTGAACCGTTGAAGGGAGAGGTTTTGCTGTGTGAGGTTAGAGCTGCAGGAGGCTGTTCACAGGTGATAATGACCCTGACCAATGCTGTTTGTTGCCAATATAGCATTATCGCCACCTTCAATAAAAGGTGTGCTACTGAAGCCCTCACTGACTCGGTTACATTGGCCTGGTTGAGGAGAGGAACAGGGGGCGGTGCTGGAGGGACAGATCCAGGAGTGGTGGTTGAGCTGTGTGATGCTCAGGTCCTTCCAGAGAGCACAAACCCAATACACAGCTGGCAGAGCTCATTGTCCAGCTCCTTATCTTGTCATGTTTTTGACACTGGCTTGTAAGTTGATCTTACTGCTCCATGGGGTGTATGCAGTGGCTTATGTGTTTTAAAAATGTGTATCAGTAGTGCTGTTCATTGAGGTCTGTTTTGCTGTGAGACCAATAGTCCCATCTCTGGCAGTTGTGGTGGTGGTTTGTGAGTTACCTGCTTTCACTGCTGGGCACCCATGAAATGTTTTAAGACTTGCTCTGTCTGGGTGCGGGTATCACCTTAGTAATGACACGTGAGAAGTTTCAACAGAGTGGATAATTTGAATTAATGCAAAATGGGACATATGTATTTGGCAGTAAACACCATTTTTTAGTTTTCTAATTTGCAATCAGGTTAAGCTTATTTCAGAACAACTTGTGTAGACTGAGCTTATTTATTGCATTCTCCTAATTGGAAGGTGACTGTCAGTGGTGTGCAAGCTGTTTTCCTTCATGCACCTAGAAATGTGGTGAAAAGAAGCACTTATTTTAAAATGATTTTGAGCACCAGTTGATTTGACAAAATGTCCAGGTTTCAGTTGGGCATCTCTGTTGGATTTTGAGAACTATCAGCACTGGCTTAACTCTGCTTCCTTTGAAGTTAATGGGCATGCCAGCTGATCACCAGTGTAAAATCCCAGGAGCAGAAGCTCCATCCTTGGCTCACTCTGTGCTGTGTGATGTTTCCTTTTGCCTTTAAAGCAGAACTGGATAGAGGATTTTAATTTTTTTTCTTGCTGCCTTTTTTTTTCCCAGTACAGTAAGAAACATCCTAGAAGAGGATTGAGTGAACAACAGAGACATAATCTGCCAGTGGGTTGTTAAAAATCCTGAAGAGTGGAGGGAACTCTGCCAGGCTCCCTCTCTGCCTTTTCTTTGGAATGGGTTCAGTTCCCATATCCTTGATTCTCTAGGAATCTGTTTTTTATCATACAACTACTATTGCCCAAATGCTGTTTTGCCTCTTGTGTCATTTTTCATTTTTCTGTTAGTCCCAGGAGTGACTAGAGATGAGGTTCCCAGTGTATTGGTCAATCCAATCTTGCCAAGCTCTTGGAAACTTTTACTATTCAGTTCCTTCTGGCTACATATCTGCCCAAATATCTTATACAAATTCTAAAAGATCAAATTCATTGACAGTCCTGGTGCAGCTCCACATAGGTGGATTTTTGCTGATTCAGTCAGTTGAGTTGAGTGTGAAGAGCTGGTAGAACAACATAAAATCTGGAGCAGGAAAAATCAACAGAGAAGTGCTAGGGAGGGAAACAGTATCAGGTGCCTGATCTTTGAACCAGCTGATAAATAAATTAAGCATAATCTAGGGAGACATTGACATGTGGTATTACAGAACAGTTGATTAAAAAATGCAGGCATGGGTTTGGGGAGATCTCTAGATACAATCTTGGCATAGGGTTCTGTGTCTGGGGGTGGGGAGGGGGATGGAAACCATGAATGGAACAGAAACCGGTGAGAGGAGTGGCAGCCTCTCTGCAAGTGTCATTAACTCCTCGGCAAGGAGGGGTTTATTTGAGGGAAAGAAATACTGGGACTTTTGTCAGCTTTTTTCCTCTCACCTCCTCACTCTTTTTTCTCATGCTTCCTCCCTGCCTTGCTCTTT